TGGTCACTGCAGGTCAGCGGGCACCGTCTGGCTTGCTCGCAGCCACGCTTACCTGGCACAGAGTGCGCGCTCCGGACACCTTGGCTGAGTGGCTGGACTCCTGAGGGAGCCAGCGCCGGGCAGTGCCGCCCCTCTTCGTCCCCAGAAGGACCCGCCTGAGCCCTTCGTGCCCACAGCCTCCTCGCAGCCACCCGGTGCGGCCAGTGCCCTCACGCCCACTCTACAGACGGGGACGCCGAGGCGCGCCAAGGGGGGGCGGTGCGCCCGAAGCTCTGCAGTTCAGACACAGTTCCCAGACACCCTGGGAACTGACACGCGGCCTGTGCTGTTCTATTTGTTTATTTAAAGAGAGGACGTTTGCCACTGTAAATAGCATCGCTTCTCCTGGGGGCTCTGTCAGTCTCTGTCACATTATTTACCCACATCCTGTGATGTGTGGGCCCAACAGTGAGAACTCCGGGGAGACACTGAGGATGTACCCTCCCGGGGGGTCAGGCAGCCCTGCGCTCAGAGCTCGGGGCTGGGCAGGAGCTGGGAGCCGGGTCCAGGCACCCCGCTGGCCGGCCAGCCGGCCCTTCCCAGCGGCTCCCGCCTGGATGCAGTGGCAGGTTGGAGCTCCAGCCGCTTGTCCCTGGTTTCCATAAGGGGGAGCTTGTGCACAGGAGATTCCCTCCAGGCCACAGCGGCCCGGCATCCAGGGACCTGCTCCCAGCGGCAGGCGCCCGAGCCCTGCCTCCTGTCCTGGGGGAGGGGTGGGGTGGGCGGCTGCGGGGATGTGTGCAGGCTGGCCCCCTCCTCGTTTATCCCCCCAAGGAACAAGGGAAGCCAGGGACAAGGCCCCACGTGGACAGGACAGAGCTTTGGAGCCAGCTGCGAGAGGGGCTTACTCCAGGGCCGTCATGGACTGGCCGCATGACCTTGGGCCGGTCGCCTCCCTTGGACCTTGGTTTCCTTATCTGTCAAGTTGGAAAATACCAACTTTAGGTGCGTTACAGAGTAGCCACCACAGTTCCTGGAGTGCAGTAAATGCTGCAGAATAACTGGACTGTTTTCGCTCTGACGACTGTTGCCCGGGTTATGTATGCAGGTCTGCACCCTCGCAGCGGCTCCTGCCCGCCCCTCCCCGGCCGAGGCCTCGGGGTGACTTGCACAGGGCCTCGGCCTCCCTGGTCCCGCAGAGATGAGCCCAGCAGTAAGGCCTGTAAGGACCCATGTTTGCAAATGCAAGACCAGGCGCCTCTCTCAACAGAAATGATGACAAAGCAAAAACGCTAAAGACTCTTTTAGAAAGGGCAAAAGAGAGAGAAGAAAGTCTTCATAGCTTAATTCTTCATCCAGGTTCAACAACCAGGTTCTCTTCATTTTGAATCGCTACCCCCCTTGCCCACACAGATGGTTTTCCCTGGTGGGGAGGGGAGGACTCGTAACCCTAGTGACTCCACCAGGTGCTGTTTTATTCTCGGCCGGCAGCGGCCTCGGTCTGAATCACCCCATCTCCCTCCATGCGGCTCCTGCCGCCAGAAAGCGGTGCCCAGGGTTCACGGTCCCCTCTCCCCGGGAGGGGGCCCTCCCCGCAGGCAGCCCTTTGCGCACGTTTGCGGAGCTGCACTCGGGGGCAGGAGGAACGGCCGGCAACACAATCTGCTGCCCCTTGGCTGCCTTCATAAAACTCCTTTTTTTCTTTCCTAAAATGGAAATGGCGTTTTCTCCCTGATTATCAAAGTAACACATGTGTGTTGTATAGCACTGGGCAAACATCCGAAGGACAGAAGTCACCCGGAGGATGTCACTGCTGGCATTGTGGTGTCTCTTTTCGGACTTTCGTCACTCCGTGAGCACACAAACCCAGTTCTGCATGACTCGGCATCACCGTATTGCAAAGACGTAGCAGTTTATTTCATCAACCCCCCCCACCCCCCACCCCCGTTCTCTGGCATTGAGGTGGTTTCTCTCCAACTTTTTTTAATGTTGAAACAATGTTAGATTGTTGCAAAGATAGGACAGCCCGTTTCTGTGTGCCCTTCACCCCGTGTCCTCAGTGGTTACATCTTCCATAACAGCGGCACTGTATCAAAATCAGGATATTGATGTTGACGCAACCTGCGTAGAGTTGGACGTCATTCCATCACGTGGGGGCATCTGCCTGCTCACCCCCACAGCCAGGACTCAGAGCTGCCACCACTACGAGTCCCCTCATCCCAACCCATCCTAGTCACTCACAGCCCTCCCCCCTCCCACCTGTCTGACCCCGGGCAACTACGAACACGATCTGTGTCTCTCAACCTCAGCCATTTTGAGCAATTTACGTACATATAGCTCAGCGTAATGCCCTTGAGACCCATGTTTATGGTCTATATAAACTGCTCTTTCCTTCTTACAGCCGAATAGTATTCCATGGTGTGGATGAACCATGCCTATTAACAATTCATCTATTTAGAACATTTTAGTAAGGGTTTTTTTTTTGGGGGGGGCGCTATTACGAATACAACTGCTATGGCTATTGTTGCAGAGTTTATCGGGTGGCCACATTGCATGTCCCTGGGATACATGTGCAGCGTGTGGGCAGGGGCGTGGATGTTTGTTTCTGGAAGGGACGGGAACCTGCCTCCCAGGGCGGCTGTCCCCTCTCACACGCCCACCAGCAACGTCTGAGAGATCTAGCCTCTCGGTAACCTCCCCGGGCCTTGATAGTCTCGGCCTCTTAAAGTGTACCTGCTCTAACAGGCATGCGGCTGTCTCAGGGTCTTACTTTTCACTTCCCCGAGGGCCCGAGATGCAGAACACCTTTCCGCGTGCTCACTGGCCGTCCACGCGTCCTCTCCGGCTGGATGTCTCTTCCCATCTTCTGCCCCTTTTCCTATCGGATTGTTTGTGGTTTTGCTGTCCTTCCCAGGACGTCCGTGCCCAAATCCCCAGAGACTTATGAAGGTGTGACCTTACAGGGCAAAAAGGGACTTTATAGACTGATAAAGTTCAAGGTCTTGAGAGGGGGCGATTGCCCGGGACTCTCCAGGTGGGCCCAGCATCATCACAGGGCCCCTGCAAAGCGGAGAGCGAGGCAGGAGATGAGACCGTGGGAGCTGCGGTCGCAGCGATGGCACTGGTGGCTAGAAGGGGCCCACCGGCCAGCGAATGAGGGCAGCCTCCTAAAGCTGGGCAAGAGTCCTCATTAAGCCCCCAGAAGGAATGCAGCCCTCGGGACCCCTTGATTTCAGCCCATGGTAGACCTCTGACCCCCCACAAATGGTCAGATAATAAAACTGTGTGGCTTTAGGCCACTGAGTTTGTGGTGATTTGTTACAGCAGCGAGGGGAAGCTAAGACAACCTTCTGATGAAGATCCTTGCACCTCAATCTTGGCACACGCTCCCAACTCTTTCCTAGATCAAATCCCTGTGTTGGCGAGTCGGGGGGCCGGCGCTCAGTTACACTTGAGGAAAGCGAGGGCTCCGTGGCCTTGCTTCAGCAGCACTGGCCTCACCTGCGAAGCGTGAAACGTGCACTTGAAGTTGCCTTGACCGTACTCTCGCGTGTGGATCCGGCACAAGTGTACACAGAGGTGAGGGAGAGGGGGGTGCGCCCGGCAAAAGCTCTCTCTGAAACACCCAAAGCTGCCCAGGCCCATCTGGTAGCCATGAGCCACCTGAAATATGAAATACACTGGACTTCAAATCCTTAGTGCTATAAAAAAAAAATAAGGAGGGAAGGAAAAAAATCTCAAGAATGATGTTTTATACCAATAATTATAATTATACAACATAATTATACACTGAATGGATACCGATTTCTCTTTTCTTTGAATGTGGCTACCAAAACATTTTAAATTACCTATGTGGCTTGCATTTGTGGCTGACACTGTGTTTCTATTGGTCAGCATGGGTCCCAGCTCTCACCCACAGCCCTTTATGGCCAGCCGTGGGCCCCGACGGCGCAGTGGCCGGAGCCAGGGCCTCGGCTCCCGGCCACCGCAGGGAGGTCAGCCAGGCCTGCGGTCCCGGCCCGAGCAGCCAGTGCCCAGCCACAGCCCCACGATGCGGCGGGAAAGTGCTGGGGGCCTCGCACCTCAGTTTGCATTCAGCTCCTTTGGCATTTTCTCGCCTCTGGCCCTTTATCCACTTCAGCCGCCTCAGGCGGGACACGGGGAAGTAACCCCGTAACACTTCTGCAGACGTTCTTTAATTCAACCAACTTTTATGAAACCTACTGCGCGCCAGGCACCGTTCCAGGCTCTGGCCACCTGGCACGGGGGCGGCGCACGGCCCGGACGGAGCCCGGCGTGGCGTCCGGTGCTCAGCGCTCTCTGCTGCCTCCAGAGACACGCGCTGTCGCTAAAAAGAACATTCCAGTGCAACGGTCCCTCCTCCTACCCTGGCACTTGGGATGACCCCGCTGGTTCCCCGAGTTGGGAGAGCAGCTCCGGGCTGGGCCACCACTTTGTGACCTCAGGCAGGTCATTCCGTTCTCTGTCCCTCAATCGCGCCCCCTCCCCCCACAATCTGCAAAACAGGGAGGGTCGCTGTGAGCGTCAAACAAGGTAACACACGCAGAGCTGCTGCTGAGAGTGCGAGCCGCTACTGTTATTGTTATGGGTGCTGTTGTTAGTGGTATTATCTTCTCGGCCTTAGAGCCCCCCTGATTTCAGGGCACCCCCAGGGGAGATGACTCAGGAACAGAGAGAACAGAGAGGAAGGGGCTGCAAAGGCTTGACCGTCGGCAGGTGAGGAGGTCAGCCCCGGGCCGCTGATGCGGGCGATGATGACGACATCAGGAAGGGCCGCCCCCTCCCAGCCCGGCGGAGAAGGTAGCCCATTCCCGACGTTGAAACCCGCTTTCACGGCAGGCCGCTCCCAGGCCCCGCCCTCCTGTTTCAGACGCCGTGCGTCAGGCAGCGCGGGGCCCTCCCATAGTCCCTCGGGGCGGGGCCCTCCCATAGTCCCTCGGGGCGGGGCCCTCCCATAGTCCCTCGGGGCGGGGCCCTCCCATAGTCCCTCGGGGCTCGCCTCCCCCTGCAAACGCCTTGGAGGGTCTCGGCTACGCGCTGGAGCCTACAAGGCCTGGACTCCGGGCAAGCCCGAGTGCTGGGCTCTCGGCCCCAGGAGGAGCGCCGAACCACGGAGGAAGGGGGCGCCACGGAGCTCAGTCCCGGCCAGGGCTCCTCCCAGGTGCGTTCTAGGTCGTCCCCCAAGTTTCTCAGCGGGGGACGCCCCAGTTACCCACGGGGGCACCCGCCGCCTGCCTGTCCTTCTCTGACCCTCCTCCTGCCGTTCAAGTTCCGCTCCTTGAAGACCCCAACTGAGACATCCTCCTCCTCCCCCGCCCCCTCTTTCAGAGAACCCTACTTCGGATCTGTTATTTCTCCTCCTGGAGCGCCATTTTCCCCGGGAGGCTGACCCCTGACCCTTCCAGGCTGGGCCCCTGGGCCGTGACCGTGACCGGGTGGGGACTGGTCAGATAACTGGACTCCTGGCCAGGGGGACGTGGGGTGGGCAGGCCCGCTGCTGGGCGTCATCGCGGCCTCCGCGTCCTGGGAGCCAGCTGCCAGACGCGCACTGGCGGCCCCTTCTGTGAGCACGAGGCTGTTCTGGGGTCTCGTTAGGAAGGAGCCCAGGGCGGTGCGCTCTCGTCGGACCCAGAGCTCGAGCATGCGACTCGCAGAGACAAAACTTGCGAAACGTTCAGAAACTGTTCTTGGAGCTGGTGACATTTGCTACCAATAGACATGAGCAAGGGACTTGGCTTCCCCCGGCACGTCCTTCTGCTGAGCAGCCTAATTGGGACAGGCTGGGCTCCCCGTCCCAGGGCCCTCGAGCCAGGGCTCCTCCCTCTGGGGGCCTGGGAGGGCGGTCTACTCGCGAAACGCACAGGAGACACCATCCTTCCCACTGCCACTCACATCACACAGTTAGTGGTGCAGAAGGGCTGTCCGCCAGCCAGGGGCTCCCCTCTCCTGGGGACCCCGCCTTCCCAGGGCGCTCCTTGATATGGGGGTACCACCCCTTGAGGATTGGGGCTCCTGATTTTAAACACAGATGCAAATTTAAGAAGCAGAGAAATGGAGGAGGAATAGGTGCTGGGTTGAATGGTGTGTCCCCCCCTCTGCCGCCACCCCAAATGATTGGTCCATGGTATAATCCTGGGGACCTATGCATGTGGCTGCAAGTTCATTACACTTGGAAAAGGGTCTTTGCAGGTGTCATTAACAAAGCTCTCCAATGAGCTCATCCTGGGTCATCCAGGTGGGCCTTGAACCCAACGACAGGTGTTCCTGAGAGCAGACAGATGAAGGGAGATTTGAGACTGACGGAGGGGGTGTGGGGCGAGGGACTGCCTTTTGCAGAACAAATATCAGCACAGGTTTTGTGACCTTTGTCAAAGGTTTTAGATACTTTGGAGTCACGTCTTTCTTCTCCATACCTGGCCTCAATGTCAGCTGGGAGGGCCCGCTGTGTGGCTGTATGCATGATGATGGCCCTCTCTGATCCTGTTTCTTCCGCTGTTACGTGAGGGTCCTCACTGTACCCACTGCCTGGGGCCGTGATGAGGGTCAGGGGGGTGTGGGGATGTAGGCTGTCTTTGGGACACAAACATAGTTGGTTTGTCCCATAGTTTTTGGGGTTTTTTTTTTATTTTTTTACTAACTTTCCACCACCAGCAGACTTTACCTGACAATCCCATCTTTTCTTGAGACATCAAAAAACCTGCCAACCTAATGTCACCATGAAATAATTGCCTGCAGCTGACGCACAGCTGGTCCGGCCTGGGCTCCTGGGGTCCCGGCCATCCTCACGCCTCCCTGTCACAGTGCACACTGCACGCTGCTGACTTCATTCATGGTTTGCAACCTCTGTGCAGGAAAACTTTCTGTACACTGCTTGCTAATTTCATGTCTGTTTCACGAAAACACAAATCCCAAGCCAGCTTCTCTTTCAGGAGTGTGTCTCCAGTAGGGAGAGGGCCTGTTGAAAACCTCTGTCAGACAGGATTTTTTACTTAATAGAATTTGTTGTAACCAGATCGGCAACGTCCTTTAATCCAGAGGCCTCTGACTTGTGGAAATCCCTTTGTTACCCAGAACTAGATACAAATGATGGTACTTGTTAAAACCAGGCGTGCGCTAGTGGGGAGAGGCTGCCATTTACGTGCGGTCTTGCCAAGATTTTGATGTTCTAGTCCTTCTCTGGTTTAATAGTTAAGTGAACGTTCGTTTCGGAATCTGGTTCAAACCAGTTCAAGAGGCGCTTTTAGGAAAAACCAACACCTCTGGTTTGTACTTGGCCACCACAGCCAGCCCTGGTTTTCTTGGACTTCGGAGTCTCTTTGTGAACTCGGTCTCAGCCTTCTGTTTGGTTCTGCCTTCTCCTGGCTGGGTGACTCGGGGCCTTCCCCCAAGGGAGCCTCAGCGTTCCCATCTCTGAATGGGTCGAGCAACAGCCCTTCCGGCACCGGGTTGCCGCAGGAATTCGAGGCGATATATACCAAGCTTGGGGCCTAGGAACCCGGACACCAGACATGTGTATTATTCTCATTACGACTGATTTGCGCTTTGGTGAGGCAGCCTTGGTTGTAGCTGGGGAAGTGGAAATACGGATTGTGAAGGTTTTATGGCTCCTACATGCCTGCGGCAGCATCCTGCCTCTACCTGCAAGGCTTAGAAGTAACACAACGAGCTTGATGATAGTCACGGGGGCTAATGTTTATTGGGTATTTCCTAGGAACTGATAGAACCTTGCCCCCACCCTCCTGTGCTCTCTCTCCCCTTCTCCATCACGACCTTTGGCCCGTGTGAGTTAGTTCTGCACCGACGTGCGAGGTCGTGGAAGTCTAGAATAAGAAAACGTCCTCAAGCCTGTCAATCGCACACCGAGTCATCTACTTCCTAATTCTAGGGGCCAGCCTTGTGGGGGGGGGGGCCATGAAAGGCTGGTATGGGTGGGTGCTGCGGGCACACCGAGGGTTCGGCCCTCTCATCCCTGACTCTGTTCCTTGCACGGCGGGAGGTTTCGCATTCCTGGGCCCCTGGCACGAATGCCGGTCATGGCGACGTGGGAAACGCCCTCCCGCGAGCCAGCGTGGCCATCACCAATGAATATTCAAGCTTTCTCCGCCCGCGGATGTGGGCCAGGCCTTCCGTCCGTCTCTCCGAAGCTGTTTTCTGAGCGGTCCAGTGGAGAGTCATACCCACTGGCGGGGCTGCTGGCTGGGGGTGAGCGGGGGTGTTCTGAAGTGCCTGGTGCGACCCCGGCCCTCGGCCGGTGTCGGTTCGGTGGCCGGGGACAAGGCATGGCACGGGTCTAGCACCGGCAGACCCTGGCACCCCTCCTTCCACCGATCGTGCCTCCGAGTGACGGGGCCAAGGGGGGCCTCTGAAGCCCTCCAGACTTCACTCCGCTCTAATTGGAAGTCGCTGTGGAACGAAGTCCAGTATTTAATTTGGCCGGAGCTTGACAGATCCAGTGCGCACGGCTAGCAGAACTCACGGGGCCCGGGACGCAGGGGGGACTCTTGGCCTGGGCTCCGGGCGGACTGGTGGAGAGAATGTCGCGTTCAATTACAGCTGATTGGCCCTGACAGTTGTCTGGGTGAAGTTTATAAGGTACATCTAATCTGGATGCATCTGGTCATAAAAATGCAAAACAAGCCATTCCCACCCAGGCTCTGGCTCCAGATGTGGGTTGATTCTCCGTGATTGACACCATATTTTTTGCAGCTGTCCCACATTTCAAATCTCTTTCTATTTAAAATATATTCATCATAATTATGGAATGCAATAAACAAACTTCAGCCCGATGACAAGCTTTAAATATAAGAATGTTACGGCTTAAAATAAATGCCGTGATTTCTCAGCCCGGGACGGAGACGGCACCGGCGAGAGTCCTCCAAAGGAGCCCTGACCTTGTCACCGTGAGCCAGACAGAGCTGTTTGCTTGCCAGTATTGACTGATATTTGCGGGGGCGGGGAGGGGGCAGGGGAGGAAAATCAAAAAGCTATTTATATCAGCTAGAAAAATGTGCACGAGTCATCACACAGCCACCCTTGTGAGACAAAGAAAAATAGCTGGATCCAACCTCCTCAGGCCTGAGGACTCCCCAGGGTGCCAGGCTCTCCCCGCGCAGGGGAGCATTGCAGCCAGCACACAGGGCCGGGTCCCTGGTTTCAGAGCCCACGGCCTCCACAGTCCACGTGCGGTTACCCTTCCACGCTGCTCGGTCACCCAACCTCCCCGTGCCTTCGTCTCCTCATCCATAAAATGGCACCTGTGAAGTGGAAGGTGATGCTAGTGCCACCGTGAGAGTTAAATGTGTGATGACAGGTGCACAGAACAGTGCCCAGTACGGGACGCGTGTGCGCGACAGGTTTGCTGTGGCGTCCTCAGTGTCAGCGGACCCTGCCCGCCAACTCTCTCTGGAAGAGATGGAAGGTCTCGAGGGCTTGGATGACCTGGACAAGGTCACGCACCGTGCACGGCACTGCCGGGATGCAAACCCTGCTCGTCTGACTTCATGACAAAGCAAGCCGGTGAGCGGCCGGTTTTACCCAGGTGAGCATTTTCTCGGTCCATTCACGGCTTCTGAGAGCCCCGGGGACCGCTGGCCGCCCCCCTGGAGTCTCGTCGTGCCTTCCGGCGGCGCCTTGTTCAGCCTGGACAAAGAGCCTCCCTCTCGTCCCTTCCCGGGTCTCATCTTTTATTTTTAATGCTATTTAAGTGTCTCTGATTGAGGTCGTTAAATAAACAAGCACTTAGGTTAATTATAGATAGGTCAGGCTGTGACCCTGTTGCTGGATTTTTCTAGCCACTCATGGCCCTCAGCCCTGACCGCACGGCTCCCCCGTGAGCAGCACGTATGCCTGGGTCCCCCTCCCCCTAAAAAAAAACAAAGAGTGCCGGGAGTTCGTGTCCACAATCTGCTCCTCTTTAAAACGAGGCCATAAGTCACAAGCCCTCAGAGCTCCCAAAAAAGCGTCTGGAGCTAAATTTGTGTGCGACGCCGACGATGGGTCTCCGATTAGGCTGATGAGAGAATTAGCAGAGCCGGGGCCTCCTGGGGCCGTGCCCGCAGCTCGGGCCAGGATGGAACCAGCTCCGTGAGTTTCGTTTCTGAGATTCGTAAAAGGCTGGTTCATCACGCTCAGTGTCAAAACGGCGTGCGCTATGCCCCCTGGCGCCGTCCCCCCAGAGAGGGGCTCCAGTCCTGGCAGGCCCTCTGTCCCCAGTGGGAATGGGAACCTCTGCCGGAGAAAGGGGTGGCCGTGTTTCAGTTCCCCCGGGACCCTCTGGGGGGCCCCGCTGCTGTCCCCGAGCCTTGCCTGACCGGCGGGGCTCCCGTTTGGGGGACAGCAGTGCGGAACAGTGGCAGGAGCTCGCCCTTGGCCGACAGACAGACTGAGGTTCCAAGAGGGACTCTGCCAATGGCAGACTGGGTGACCTGGGGTGAGGAGCCCAGCTGTCACCTGTAAGATGGAAAGGATCCAACCCACAGGGTTGTCATGAGGATCCGCTGAGAGGACAGGGGGCGAGGACGAGGCTCGCGTTTGGCGCTCGATAAGCAGAGGCCGAGGTTCTTCGTGTGGGTGGGGAAGGCTCCGAAGGTGGCGTCCGGGGCTGGGAAGCTCGCTTCTCCTTCTGTGGCCAGGGCGGCACGCGGACTGCACGGCTGGGCCTCTCATTTCTACACCAGCCCCTGGAGACGCCTGCTCGGAGTGCGGGCATCGATTTGTCGATTGTTTTTTGGTTCAAAGTGAAGTATTTTGTATTGACTGTATTAGAGTGACATCGGTTGACAAAATAAGGTTCAGACATACAGTTCTATAGTCACACCTCACCTGTGCACTGTCTGGTGTGTGCGCAGCCCTAGTGACTTGTGACATCTGTCGCTGTCCGGGGTGGGGGGGGGCGCGTGCAGTAACCGAGTTCGGTCCTCGCGCCGCTCTCCCCGCTCCGGAGGGCGAGCTCTGAAGGCGGGACCGGGGGCTGGAAAGGGCTCTGATCTTGCACAGGCTCCAGAGCATCGTTTGCATCTATTATCTCCTTGGTCCCCCTACAAGTTCTCAGTCACGGCACACTGCAGCGACCCCGTGTCGCCTGGCATTCAGCCCCGTGACCATTACCTTCTTCATTTGACGGATGTGGAAACTAAGGCCAAAGACCGAGTGAGTGATGCGGATGATGGACAGGACAAGGTTAGATTTTTAAATGATCTGCAGCTTCGCTCCAGGAACCCGGCACCGCCTCATCTCTCGCTGGAATCTTGAAACACTCACCCGCCGTCAGGCACAGGGGACGTGGGGGCGAGCGGCCACCCTTCTGCTCACCAGGGCAGTTGGCCTTCCCAAGGCTCAGTTTACCTGTCTGCAAATTGGGCACAGCCCGACGCCATGTGAGGACGAGACGGAACAGTGTGTGTGTGAGATATACCCCAGATAAAATCCCGTGTGCTACTGTTCGAGGGGGCAGGATCCTTCGGGTGCAGTGCCCCCTGCACCGGTCAGAGGGGGTCTTTGAGAGCTTCTTTCTGGGGCTCGGGAATCGCTGCCATGTGGAGGGCTTCAGTATATGGGGTTCCGAGGCTAGACCGATTTTATGACCTTGGGCAAGTCGCTTCTCTCTGACCTGCCCGAGTGGAGGACCGCCTTCCCGGCCAGGCTGCCGGGAGGCCCAGGGCCAAGGGAGGGAAGTCACCCGGAGGCAGGAGGCGCCCACCGCAGGCCAGGTCCCCTTCTCCCGAGGACCCGAGAGCATGGCTGTGCCAGCGCTGGAAGGTGCAGATTCGTTCTTCAAAGAAACAGCGGCAGTAGGGAACTGTGTATGGGGGGTGCGTGTATGGGGGGGGGGTGCGTGTGTGCGGGGGTGGGGGGTGGGAAGGGCTGCAGGCAGAGTGACAGAAGGGAAGAAACAACAGTACTTTAGTGACTGGCAGACGAAAGGTCCTTTTAGCTGGATTCGTCGGCCTTCTCACACCAGCTTAGCTGTGTTTGGAAAAATACTTAAGCTGCCACAGGGTGCCAAGTCATGACTCCGTCAGAGAGGGCCTGTTTCAGAAATGGGCAGAGCCCTCGCCTGCGAGGAGAAGCGCATCAGAACAACGTGGCCGGCGCTCGTGGGTGACACGCGTGTGCTCTCCATGCGCGGATGCTGGAAGTCAGGAGTGAGGGGCTTCTTTTTGCGTGGTGTTCTGACAGATGGACGGAGAAGGGGCAAAGAGGAGAGAAGAAAGAGGAGAAAGGACAGAGAGGCTGAAAGAGAGATGGGAAAGAGGTGGGGGAAGGGAAGAGAGACACAGAGACAGGGAGACAGGGAGAGACAGAGAGAGACGGAGACGAAGGGAGACACAGAGGCGAGAACGGCATCGGGAGGGGCTGTGTGAGGGGGAGAGACGAGCAGAGAGGGGGGAGCAGGCAGAGGAGAAAGGGAAGGGAAGGGGGTGAGGAGGGACAGACGGGCAGACAGACAGAAGGAGGTGAGATGGAGTGGGATGGGGAGAGTGGGGTCCTGCCCACCCTCTTTGATCTTGAACCTGCCTCGGTGGATGTCAAGCTGACAGCCCTCCGTTTTCAGACCTTGAAGCTCCTCCTGGGGCCTGCCTGCCTGCCCCACCGGCTGCGTCTGCAGTGTTTAACGTGCCCGAGTGGAGCCAGATGGTGGACCCGGGCCAGCTTGCGTTTGACAACCAGATGCTGAGCTCGCATAAAGGGGTCCTGCGGCCCGGCTGCTGGCGGGGAGCTGAGCTGGGCTGGGCTTCCCGGAGCACCGGTGCGCTCTCCGTGCCCGGGCCCCCGGGGCAGGCCCTGGCACAGCCTCGGCCGCCAGGAGGGGCCCGAGGAGCTGGCGTGACTGGAGCTATGCGCTCAGACAGAGCTGGGTTTGAGTCATAGTCCACCCCTCACCGGGGGTTCTGGGCATGTGGTTCTGTGCCATGGTTTCCTCATCTGTGAAATGGGCCTAGCCCCCCAAAAAAAAATAGCAGGTCTCCTGGGTGGCTAGAGGATCAAAACAGAAACCGAGTGTGAAGACTGTTGCAGAGGAGACATGAGACTGCAGACCCGTTAAAGCAGGCTGAACTCACCCTGCAGAGGGTGTTAGTCTGGCCTCCTGCAGGCTCCCGAGTTTCTGATGCCCACACCCAAGAACCTGGGTGGTGTCGTGTACAGATCCGTGTCGCCGGTTTCTTGTGAAAGATCCCAGCACCCGAGGCTGCGAGGGAGCAGTAGCCGGCCCTCTGCCTTGGACCCCGGCCCTTCCTGTGGGACCACGCCCCCCACACCTCCTTCCTTCATTTCCAGTTGCTTCCAGGCCCCTTGAGTCACGTGACCCTCACCAAGAGGCCGGATGATCATCCGGGTACCCGTGTTCTGCCATGGCTGGCACAGCCTTCCATTGAGAAGGAAGCAAAAATCGTGGAGGGGTCAGCTGCACCTCATCCTGAGGACAAAGCTAGATTTCCAGGGCCACCAGGGCCACCCCCATCAGCCGCATCAGCACAAGGGGCTGGGCTCCCAGGGGACACTCAGTTTGCCTGGGGTCCAAATGAGTGGCTGCTGATTTGGGGGGGGCGGCGCGGAATGTTTCAATTTATTGTTTAAATAACGTGGCTTTCAATCCAGACGTTGTTTGGGGCTTTTCAAGAATTTTCAATTATTCAGGCCTAAAATAGGTTGAAAACACGTGCCTCCCCACAACCCCGACCCCAAAAGGAAGACTCCTGTAGCTTCTCGTGGGCTGGGGACTTGAGTATGTAATATATACTTGGCAGGAGAGACCCGGCTGCAGAGGGAGCAGGGGCCTGGGCTGATGGTGGGAGACCTCACCCCCGTGGGCTGCACCTGCCATCTACCTGACACGTCTACCACCTCTGACTCGCGCACCTGGAACTTGTAGCCTTGCCCAGGAGGTTGGGAGGTAAACAGGCAATTATGACCTTCCAGAGAGATCAGCACAAGGTGCTGGGGGAGCCATGAGGGACCACCCAGCTCAGCCTGGAGGCCAGCACTGCCGCCACCTGGGGAGGTAGAGCCCACGATCTACCCAGAAGGGTAGGGAAGAGCTGGTGTGGGCAGAGGGGCTGATGGGCACCCCCGGGGTACCGAGGTGTGTTGGGGGGCCTGGGAAGACCACGGGGTGCTGGAGCATCCTGCAGAGGAGAGGCGAGGGGGCAGTGAGCCGTGAGGCGGTGGCTGGGGAGCAGGGTCCCGTGGGGAAGGGCTTGGTGTGCTGTGCCATGAAATTTGGAGGTAAATTGGAGAAAACCCTGCAGGCAGGGGAAGCCACAAGCAGGTTCAAGAGCAGGCCAGTGCGGTCAGACTGATGCCTGAGATCGTTTGGGAAGCTGGTCAGAGGTAGCCCGACAGGGGTGGGCCTGGAGGTGGGAGGACCGTGGAGGAAACTGGTGGCCATGGCAGCCGTGAGGACACAGCGGAGGCAGTGGGTGTGGGAAATCAGTGTCATGGGAAAAGCCGCTAAGACTTGGCGACAGCTGCAGTGTCCCCAAAGGACTCTGATTTGCATAAATGCTGGGTCTCGGCACAGCTCCACCCCAACTGATGGCTTGCTAATTGAATTCATTCATCCACCAGCAAACAGTTATGGAAGCTGGCCCCTCCAGGAGCCCCGCGCTAGATGCCGAGGGGAAGACCAGGAGGAGCGGACTCCCGCCAGCAAGTGGCAATCCGCCACAACTTCGCTTGCTCTTGAGAAGACCTCGTGACCCTCCATCCTACGCAGCAGACGGTAAGTGCCCTGGCCCGCTTAGGGCCCCCAAAAGTTTTCTGGCTCAGGAACCACGCGTGGCTGCCACTGCGCCCCAGCGGGGGGATCCAGGCCCTCGGACAGTGTCCCACACGCCCTGTCTCAGGGCTCAGGGCTTGTGACCACCGTCTCCTATGCTGGCGCTTAGGGTTTGGCAAACTTCCTGCCATAGGTCAGACTGTCAAAATTTTAGGCTTAAGGGGGTGTCCAATCTCTGTCCCAGCTACTCAACCCCACCACCATAATGTGAAAGCAGCCATAGACTATATGCAAATAAATGGGCATGGCTGGTGTTCTAATAAAACTTTATTGTAAAGCACAGTCCGGGGGCCAGATTTGGCCTGTGGGCAATACTCTGACAAATTCTGGTGGCGTTCTCAGGCGGCTACTCAGGCTGCAGGGGTGGAAGCTAAGTGTGCTGTCAGGCAGGGCTGAGGGAGTAGACACAGCGGTTCCAAGCGGGCAACTGGGGAGGGTTTGCTGAAGGGGCTATGTACACAGTGTCCAGTTAAGGGGAGCCAACAGGGGTACTGAAGTCCTCTGGCGCTAGCAGCAGGCGGAGCTGTTGAGACCCCAAGACTTTAGGGCAGGAGGAGGAGTGGTTTCCCGGACCTCTGGTTGGAGGAGGGACCACCCAGCCAAGGCTGTGGCTGCCTTGGCAGAAGGAAGCCGGGGTGTGTGTGTGGGGGGGCGGTCCGGGGAAATACTTGGGCCGGTTTCCTCTCCCGCCCTCCAACTTCCTGCTATCGCCCCCTGTTGACTGGACCCAGCAGGGAGCCAGGGGCCCAGGGAACCCATGGGGGACGCCCACGAGGGGGGCCTCCCAGGGCACCAGGCAGGACGCAGGAGGGTGGGTGACAAACGGAAGGAGCGTGAGCAGCTGCCCACGGTCACGCAGCCCGTGAGTGACAGCTGGTGGTCGGCACGTCCTCCAGTCCCCACATCCTCTCTGGGCGGAAGCTGCCGTGGGAAGAGACGGTGTTGGGGGTGGTGAGAGCCTGTAGGAGGGCTTGTGGCAGGCTGGAGCTCTCCTCTGTGGGAAACACCCCCGAATGTGACCTTCAGGCAAGGCTTCGAACAGGTCACTACTGTACCTCCCCGGCTTCTCCCCTGCCAGGCTGGGGTGGGAGTCTCTCCTCACACAGAGTGTTTCCCAGGGTGGTCCATACAGCTCCAGCCCATCCCCCGGGGATGCCAGTTAGAGCAGCAAAGGCCCCCGCACCGTCTCCAACGGTCGGAGCCCACTCCATGGGCGGGGTCAGGGAGTGTGCACTCTGATGAGATGTGAGAACCGTCTGTCAGCTCCTTCTGAACATGAAGTAACTCATCCACAGAGTCTCGGGCCTGCAGTCGGCACGCCCGTGCACCGAGCAGCCCCTGTGAGCCGCGCCGTTGACCTCCGCCTGTCCACCCAGTCACTGTGGTGACCAGAGAGACGATGCTGCTCCCATTCCCGCTTTACAGATGAGGAAACTGAGAATGAGAGTGACCCAGGCGCTTCTCTGAGCCGGCAGAGACTCAGCCACGGCTGCTCCCTCCCTCCTCCCCTCAAGGTAGGATGCAAAGACCTGAGGACCCTCTGCACAAAGAGCAAGGCCTGGAGCGGGGAGGCCGTGTACTCACAGGCACGAACCTGCAGCGGAGGGGCCGCCCAGCAGGGCCCAGCAGGTTCACGAGGGCCCGGGCGGCCTCAGCACAGCCCCACGGCCCCTGCTGAGCTGAGAACCCCAGTGAGGGGCGCTAGATCGGCCAGGGTGTGTGAGCCCCAGGAAGGGATCGCCAGCTTCAAAAGGAGCCTTTCGTCCTTCTTTCAAATCAGGTGGTGGGATTCGTCTGCACTGTGGGGGCCCTGAGTACCCCAGCTCCTGAGCGGGACAGGTCTGTCTCTGGGAGATGCTGGCATCTTTGTGCGCAGGGACCTAGCGATGGATTTTTTAAATCTAAGGTACCTAGAGATGGGTGTTTTTAAAGCCAATAAATCATAAACCTTGTTTGAATCCCAGTCCAGAACAGATGTAATGCATATGGTCAGTAGACTTGGAGTTGCAAATAAATATGTTTGGAAACCAAATATTTGAAAAGCAATCCTTCTTCTCAGGCTCCTCTTTTTCGAGTGCCACTGCCAAGATCGGTTCAGGGATTTGGTTTCCCTTGAAGCTGCTGCCACAGCCCTACCCTCCCTCAGCCAGAACGGAGATAAAATGTCCCAGGCCGGGAGTGCACAGAGGTTTCAACTTGCCGGCCGGTTCTGGCTGATTGGTTGTGGCTGCCTGGAGTGCAGGCTCAGGTGGACCGAATGCCGTGATCGATTAGCGATGTCTGCCCCCGGACCAGGCACAGTAAGTAGAGGTGTAAGTGCCACATCTTACCCTCTACTGCCCTGAGTGTATCACCTGCTTCTCCAGCAGGGCAGTGCTTTATTCATTCTGATGGCAGTGCAATGACAGTTTTAGGGCACAGAAGCAGTGGGACATTGAGCAGTTTCCCTTCCTCGTTAAATGCAATGCCCAGGTGATACCGAAATAGTCCTCCTGCTCCTTCAGCCCTCCACCTGCAGGCAGGACGCTCCAGCCATCTGAGCAGCCTTGGAGCCGCGGGGGCGCGTTTCACAGACACTGGTTCTTCGGTTTCCTTGCCTGTGTGCCTCGTTGTTGCCCGCTTCCCCGCAGCGTGCTCGTCTCCCGAGAACAGGGACGCTGTTTTCTTCACCGCTTTGTTCCACACATCTCGCTGGAAGTGTGTGGTACGCGGTAGGGACTGGGTAAGTCTTGGCTGAAGGAAATTATTTTTTCATCCCCCTGTCCATGTGCTTACTTACAGTGTCGCTACTCCGGGCTCGGTCCGTAGATCCCGATGCAACAGGACAAGTGAGAAACCTCAGGCCTGGTGAGGGGGACAGATGCCTGCGTTGATGATTCCAGACGCGAAAAAGATGGTAACAGAGGTAGGTGCTGGGCAGAGGTGACGGGCAGGGGATGGCCTTGGAGCACCAGGAGGGACTTCCCCGAGGCTTCTCGCTGACCTTGGGTTTTGAAGGGTGAGCGGCAGTTCCCCAAGCAAAGGGTTGGATGCGACATGCTTTTTATAAGGAGGTGGCGGACCCCTGTCTTGTATAAGAATGACAGTGAGTTACACAGCATACGCGTGAAGAGAGTGGAAACGCGGTCTGAGAATCAGACACATAGGTAGTTGGATCTCGGTTCTGCCTCAGGCAAGTCTCCTTGCCCCTCTAAGCCTCCGATTCTGCCGGGGAGACTGGGAGTTCGGAGGAGATGGCAGGGAAGTGCCTGGCACTGGCCCTGACACCTCAGGACATGGCAGTTCTTCCTGCTAGGACACCCATCAGGACCCCGCACTGTCCCAGTAGGTGGGGACGAACAGACGCTTCCCTGGTGTCGTTCAGAGAACGGCCAGTCTCCCTGGCCTTGGTCCCAGAAGACTGCGCTAAGGACGTCCTGCAAGAGTCTAGTTAGCAGGGAAGCCTCATCCCCAGGGGGGCTGCCGTGAGCTCTGTTTCCCCTCCCCTTCCCACCCACCCCGTCCCCCATACCCCAGGGGTGCTGTCTTGGCTGCCTCCCTGCCCCACCCCGGCCCAGGGGCTGGTGCAGCCTGTTTCTACGGCTTTTCACAGGGCTGAGCCCGAGAAGGTGCCAGCTCTGCCCATTCCCTTTCCCGTCCTTCAGACGTGTGCAGGCAGAAGCGCTGGCTCAGCACGCAGCTTCCGGTTCAGCGTCTCGTCATTGGAAAGGCCTGCTCTCCTCAAATGCCATGATCATGATGATGACGGTGACAGCAGTGACAGCTCCCCTGGACGGCACGCTCGCTCCAGGCAGACCCTGGACACACACCGAGTCATGTGAGTCTCACCAGGACCCTGTCAAGCTGCTGTTGCATTCTGTGGTTCCCGACAGGGACCGTGGTCCACGTTCACCCAGCAAGGAGTGACAGGGCCCAGGGTCCCTGCCTTCCACGCTCTCACCTGCTCCTCCCATTTATCTGTTTTCTTTTCTTTTTTTTCCATTTCTTTACTGAAACTCTTCCTCCTTTCAAAGAGATTCAAGGCAACTAGGAAATACAAACCACAAAGAGGAATAAAACCGACCTGAGATTCCGGGGCAGGACAGGGAAGAGTCCCCTGCCACGGCGGGAGCAGAGTTCCACAGACCTCAGGTGGGTTGCGTTTGCTGATCACACTACTCAGCTCCTCCCTACCCGTGCTAAGACCTCCCGCCGCGGCTGGCTTCAGCTGTGCCTCTTGGGGTTTTCTCCAGTTGTTCGAAGCTTTGTGACTAGAGGCACCACATTTGAGGTCACTGTGTCCCCAGGGCAAAGATGCATTTTATCGTCGTGATAAAGACTCTCAGGGAGTGGTTCCCGCCTTCCAGTCTCCTCGGCCGAGAAGGAGCTCAGCTCCACTTGCACGGCCGTTTCCCACCCTCTCACTCCATCGACCTTTCTGGGTCCTGGTGTTTAAGACAAGGTCTTAAGGGACCCCAAGGTCCCTTAAGCAGCCTATGGCAGCTTTATCTTTAATCCTGGCTTGGAAACTGTAGTCTTTTAATTGAAATATTTAGTTCATTCACCTTTAACATAATTCCCCATAAATTTGGGTTTAGATGCACCATCTCATTATTTGTTTTCCATTGTTCCCATCTGTTCTGTCGTCTCTCTTAGCCCTCTTGCTCGTTTAATCTGTTATTGTTATCGTTATTAAACTTCAAACTCTGTTATTTCGTTAGTTTACATTCTTCTACTATGCTTTTAGCAGTCTTTTTAGCAATACAATAGGCACCCTTGACTTAATTAAAGCCCAATATATATGTCAGTACTTTTATCATTTACGAGCAATAAAATTATTCCAATCCTAATTTATTTACATGAAATTACATTTAACTTCATCCTTTTTGAATTTATGTTACTGCTTTTACACATGTACATTTTGACTGTACATATATTTTTTAAAAAGTCATCCCTATTGTCATCATTTTACGCACTCAAGCTCCATCTAGATTTATCCACTTACTCCTCCCTCCCAGTGCTTGTCAGCCCTTCCTGCATTTCCATGCATCTTTCTGGGACGATCCTTCTTTCCCTGAAAAACTCCCTTTAGTGTTCCTTTTAGTGCTGGTCTCTGCCGGCAAGTTCCCTGTGGCCGTCTGTCCGGAAATGTCTTTAGGCTGCATGGCCGGAGGACCCCTCCCCCGGGCCGCGCACCGCGCTGCCGTGGCCACTGCCCGGCACCCTCCCGCGCTGCTCCTGTCCCGGGCTCACCTCCTTCCAGCCTCGGTCTCCCCTCGCTCCTCTGACGCCGTCTTCACTCACCTGCCTTTAAAGCCCTTTCAGGAGTTTGGTTGTAGCGTGCGAAGCAAGGTGTGCTTGTCTTTGGATTCATCCTGCTCGGGCATCATAGTGATTCTTGAATCTGTGGTTTGACATTTTCATCTTTTTTTTTTAAGGCTCAGTCATTACCTCCTTCCAGACTCCATCTTATACTCACTCTTCCACCCTGCTAGGGCTCTGGTTACATGTAAGTTTTTTTGTTTGTTTGTTTTTTTACCATTTTCATACGTTTTATATCCTTTGCTCTATTTTCATTCTTTTGATTTTCACGTGCCATCTGGGTATTTTCTGTGAGCCCGTCTTCCGGTCACCACACTCCTTTCTCACTGCGTCTGATCTGCTGTGAGAGCCATCACCTGCGTTCTCCATTTCAGTCATCATAGTTTGCATTTCCAGAATTTTCACTTGATTCCTTTTCTTGAAGATTCTAGTTCTCTGATAAAAAAAGTTCATGTTGTCATTTGTTTCCTTGCATATACTAATATTAGTCTTTGAAGACCACGTCTGATCATTCTAATATCGGGGTCCCCTGTGGGTGTTTCTGTTATACATTTTTTTTCTCACAGTCCTGTTCTTAGTATGCCTTGTGAATTTTGATTGACGACAGGAAATTTTGTATTTAAAACAAGTTCCAGAGGCTCCAGATGATGTTCTTTTCCTCTTGAGAGAATTTCCTTTAGCTTCTGGCAAACTCTTCTTGTAGAAGTTCACTTCGCTGCACTCAGATGAAGATGATGCAAGGCCGAGTGTTCCCCTCTGAAAGGCTCGGCCTGTCCCCAGCTCACCTTCACTCCTGGGCTGGCCCGAGCCCCGCCCGAGAGCCACCCCGGACCAGCTCTGAGCTCCAGAAAGAAGTGCAGGGTGACGAGCAGCGCGGCCACGCCCCCGCGGGGCGGTCGGCGTGCGCCAGACCACAGGGGCCGGCGGGTGAGCTCCGCTTCCCCACCTGGCGCGCCTCTTTCTCTGCCACCTCCTGGCTTCACTCACACGCAGGCTGTGGCTGGGCACCTGGTGACCGGCAAACGTCAGGAGCGCGGGTCTGAGATTTTCTACCGCAGGAGGACTCAGGCTTGCTTTCTCCAGTCTCCAGGCCAAAACTCCGATGGAAGAGCAACGGTCGGTTCAGTCTGGATCAGTCACTGGAGCTGGGTAGGAAGACTCCTGGGGAGCGGCGCTCTGCGCTGCGGGGACCACAGGCCGCTGCGGAGAAGGAAGTGTTGCCAGGAAGAGTGCAGGAGGGTGCCCGGGCCCCAGACAGCAGAGTCAGGTGCGGCCAGGCACTGAGGTGAGGTGTTTCCCAGGGTAAACCGACTCCCCTCAGCTCACACAGCGGGAGTGCGGAGGGGTTTTCCCAAGCTCCTAGCAAAGACAAAATAAAACAAACAATAGCAACCAACCTTCCCTGCAGAGTCTCCAGGGATAGTAATCATATTAGCAACTGCTGGCTACAAGGAGCTATGCATACAAACCTCACAAGGACATTTCCCATCTGCTTGCGGAGGAGACGTAACTGCGCCAGTTTCCAGAAGAGAATCCAGGCGGGGAGGGCCTGAAGCTTGTGCAAGTACAAATAAAAATTAGGTGCAAGAGTAAATATTTATTTAGTGTACGAAAAGCCGCCACACACAGATTTTTAAAAGCTGATGGACGCCACAAGGATCGTGAGAGTTAGAAATGCCCAAAGCATTTTTAATTAAATTACTGTCTCTTACTCCTCTCTAGTATTTTTCCCTACATTTTTGTCTGTATATGTGGTCATTTTATTTCACGTGGCAGGATATAATATTCCTATATTATTCCTATTATATTCCTATGGAGAGAATAGGAATATAACTCGGTCTTTTCCCCAGCAAGGCTGAGCAAAATCAATTTCTTCACTGAGAGCTGACGTGCAGACCACGCAGATTCCCACGAGGTTATACTTGCTGTTGGTAGTTCTCCTGGAGGTCTGTGTTCTGCGAACCGAGCTGATCAATGGTGCTTCACACGGTCCCCGCTGGAAGGAGAGAAAGGAACCGTGGGTGCGTGTACAGTCACACAGGCTGTACCCCTGAGCATGTTAATTAGACGTCTGTAAAAACCAGATTGTCTGCTCACAATCTGCCATGGCCGATGAGCAGCCTCTGGCTCCCTATCTGTCAGACTTGGTTTCTCTCCCGCTACCTGCATTCGTCTGGCGCACCTGGCCCTGCACCTTCACGCCAAGACCCCCAGCCTCGGAGACGGGCAAGCCGGGGGAGGGAGGAGTGTCTTTGGAAGCCATTCCCGCCCTGAAAAGGCAACCACATACATATGTTCCACTCAGCACAGGGCCAGTGCAGCCCGACTCGTCTCGGCCTCAGCCTGACCCCCCACGACGCCCACGGCCAAGAGTGGCGCGGGGGCGGGGGTCAGTGGGCAGAGACGGTAGTCAACCCGCTGTGACCAGAATATCTTACTTTTCCGATTTTACCCGGACATGTGATCACATGACCAGGGCTTCTTCCCATGCTGTAGCGGGGGCCTAGGCACAGGGAGGGACCCTGGAAACTCAAGTTTCATTAGCTCCATGGTAGATGCATCATTTCCTAGCTCCATGGTAGATGCGTCATTTCTTAGCTCCATGGTAGACGCGTCATTTCCATGTTTGGGTGAGGCAACTGAGGCTCGGAGAGAGGAAATCATTTGTGCAAAGTCATGGGGCTGATACAGGATGAAGCTGGGACGGCGCGAACATGTTCTCTGAAATGTGAAGGAGGCCCAAAATGTACAGGGTCCCCTCTCTCAGTCTCCCTCCCTCCACTGGGCCTGGGAGACAGCGAGCACGCAGAGTCGGCGAAGCCTGTCAAGGTCGTATGAAGGGTGTGCGTCTCAGCAGCACCCGCAGCCCAGGGCGTCTGGTTCCACCGCCACAAACGTCCTCTGCGTGGACATCCACATAAACCAGCAGTCTTGGGTGGAATCGAGGGAATGGGTGGGGCACTCACCAGGGCCGTGGGGAGAGTTGGCGCCTTGAACTCCATCCCTGAGCCACGTCTCTGAGTGTCCCTCGTCCTCGGGGAGACTCGGGTCCCTTTTGCGTCAGACCTTCTCTGTTCCCTGGGGGCTGCTGGGTTCCTGACCCCCAGGAGGGAGACAGGTGCAGGGAGACAGGTGCAAGACCCTCTCGGGGTCGCCTTCGTGGGTGGTTCTGGAATTGCTGTCATGGGACCTGTGCCCCCTTGCACACAGAGGACTTGGGCCTTCCTCTCTTTGAAAGCGAAGACGCAGGGAAACGTCCGAAAGAGCGGGGTCACTGTCCTTTCTAAACTCCTCGTCGCCTCTGCGTTGAAGGCTGGTGCTCACGCGCCCACCCTGTCGCGCCTCCAAAGGGAGCGAGGTTCCAAGAAAGGCTCTCGAGGCGCTTCTTGCCCCGGAATCATTGGAAACAGACGTGCCATGCACTGCGCAGCGTTAACACGCAGGAGGTTAAGCGCCAGCTCTCGGGCCCTTTGATGTAGCAAATACCAAGGACTTGAACGCAGCAGAACTGTAAACCTCAAATCAGAGCTAATCACACTAATTTGCTGAACTCGAAAACCAAACCGGAATGTTCGTTTCTTCTTAAACCGAACCACAAAGCCAAGCTGTTTTGATCTACAAATCTATCTAACAAAAGACGTGAGGTGGCTTACAAGAAATACATGCAATAAAACAAAAATCTAAGTAGATAAAAACCAGGATCAGGGGGGAAAATCAAAACCAGAGCGGGTATTAGGACACAGATATGCAAGACCGGCACAGTAACTTGAGTTCCCGAGCCCCCTGGCAGCCAAAGCAATATGGGAGATACATTAGTTACGGGACATGCATGGTCCATAAAGAAAAAATAATTTTGCAATAGCAGTTCACTGGTCTGAAACCAAACTAAGTCTCCAATGCTGGGGCGGGGGAGGGGCCCGTAACAAAATATTCTCTGAGTCACACTGAAAATACTTCATTTGGCTCAAGACCCTATTTAACACACACCAGGGTTTCAAAAACATGACTTGCTTTATCATGTAGTTTCTGTTTTCTACTGGCTTTCAAACCCCGCTTAAAGATATAATTCGAATCAGCCCAGTCTGTCCAGATTTTCCTTTTTTTGCATTTCGGCCTGAAACAATTTCAAGCTCTTGCTGTGTGGGTTTAGTGCGCGGCCTCATTGCTTTAGCAATTAAGGAATAAAACCTGCACGCGTGTCTCCGGGGACCGGGGGGGATTCCGAGGGTTAAGTGCCGGCCTCGCACCGCAGAGCGGCTCCGCGTCCCCAGAGGGCTCCGCCGAACTGTTTGGATAAACTGAGGAAATGTCGGGGGGAGTTCTGACACCGGGCGTGACATTAATCTTCGTAACCGTTCCTCCAGATGTGCACGCGTGTGCAGAGGGTGCTGAGCATCCAAGTTCACGGAGGCGGCCCACTCTTCTCGGGGGCGGGGGCGGCCGGTTGGGTTTTCTGTTCCAAGTTCTCTCCGATCTCGGAGGGTGCGCGCGCCTGTCATCTCGGTGACTTGACGTGATATTGAACACCATGAGGAAACGCTTAGCAGCTATTGTCAAGTGAAAAGGCAGGTCATAAAAAACAGCGTTCGCCGGTCTGTGGATGGCTCTACCTGCAGCTCTGGGCAGCGCTAGATATATTGGGTGCGTGCGCGCTCAGATGTTAGCAATACGCAGAATAGTTACGCAAAACAATACCCGGTTATCGCCAGGCGGGGGGATTTTTACTCTTCACACTTTCTAAGTTTTCTGCGACAAACATGTACGGTTTCTACAATGATAAAACAAAACCCAACGGCTGTTGCTTTTACAAGCCTTCCTCTCAGTTCTTTCCAGGTGAATCTCCAAGAAGTCTCATATTTATTTGTGGCAGCGCACCTCGAGTGCTACCATGGTGTCCTCACGACGTTTTCCTAGTGGCCACGACCACACTGGGGCCAATATTTCCTTGGGACCGCTCTAGGCGCCGCGAGCTATAAAGGCTTGTAAACAGCCCCACCTTGAAGAAAGGTTGGAATCGGGTCTCCAAATGGACACTTTCCCTTATGGCTTCTGAGGGGCTCGGATCGGTTTGCAAATGTTGTTGCATTTAAAAAGGAGTTTTAATACCCACTGTGTAATCGGTCCTCGCCCCATCTGTCGCCTGCAGAAGCAAGTGAGCTCCTCTCCACACCGCCTGCCACTTCCCTGTTCCTTCCCCGCCCCCCCACCGCCCCCCCAGCCGCAACCTCCATCCAAGACGTGGGAAGAAAAGCTGAGTGCCAGGCAAGAACGCATCTTGCCAAGATGATCAACAGCATGTGTCTGCCTCCCGGTGAGCATGTGTGTGCATGCGTGTGTGTGAGCACACGCACATGTGGCTATACGTCTGTTTCGAAGTGCCCAGATATGTGGGCGTTTATGCAGGTAACCAGTACGTCCACTTCTGTAACTCAGGGCACGAAGTCAAGTCCCAGTTCTCTTAGTGGCCAAATCACAGCATCTGCTGCCTTTTGAGAAAAAGTCCTTCCTGCCCTGTGGCCCTTCTGGGATGAACAAGTGGTCCGGGGCCTACTTGGTTCAAGAAACACCTGCTCATGACCTTCTAGAAGGGCAAACGAGACATTGGCCCTTGTCTCTGGTTGCAGCTGTCCCACGTGCAGAAACAGAGACACCATGACTCTGGGCCAAAGTCTCACCCCACCCAGCATGGCGGGAGCTACCTACCACCCCCCACCCAGGAAACCGGGGGCGGGTCTGGTTTTGTCTGCATGACTCACCTCAGGAGCTCGGGCCCCTCCAGCCGGCATTCCTCGGTGTGGGGTGGGGCAGGAGGTCCCATCCCTCTGGTGATGCCCTTCGCTATGGGTCTCTGCACCGGAGGAGGAGACGCCCGTGGCCGGACCAGGAGGGGCTGTGCCCAGCACTGGCACCCTGGCCGGCCCACCCGGCCCCCGTTCTCAGGTGGGATTGCCCTTCTGGAAGGGGGGCTTCTGGTCAAGTGCCCCCCACCCCCGTCTCAGGCCTCCTCATAGCTTTGAACTTCAAAGGTGCACGTTGGGGCCTCAGTCCCCTTCCTTCTGTCCCCTTGGCCTGGGGGCAGATCGGCTCAGTCTCCCTCCCAGTGACCCTGGGGCACGGTGGGGGGAAACTGAGTCTTCTGAAAAGCCAGAGCCCCAGGCTCCGAAAAAGACAACCACCCACCTCCCACCAAAACCCACGCTCAAACCCCAACGATGTGTGTCCGACACCCACATAATTAGGAAGACAACGAGTGCTTTGGGCCTAAACACAAAAGGCTTTGGCTAGCAGCAGAACTGGCCGACCATCTTTAAAGCACAGGTTGGCTTCCAAAAATAGTAAGAGAGAACAATAAAAACAAACCCACATCCACAGTAACCCCAGTGCACGTATGTGTGAAGACGTGTCTATAACGGTGTGAGTTCACACGTGCCACACACGTGCCGGGCACTTCCTGGGCAACGCATTCCCTGATTCTCCCAACAGCCCAGGGGAGCGGCCAGTATTCTCTGCCCTTTGCTGAAAATGAGGAAAGCAACAAAAAGGCGCGGAGACAACTCGTCCAGGGCCACGCAGCCAGAAGTCGTACTGAAACCAGCACGCACACGGAGCCTCAAAGTCCTCCTTGTATACGTGCGATTATTTTAAATTAGTAAACTTTGTTTAACTAATAACCTTTAGTGTTTGGAACCGTTTTAGGAAAGTTGAGCGCATTGTATAGAGACCTCGACGCCACCCTCTCCCGCCTGCGGTTCCCCCCAGAACTTCTCACATTGGGGCGGTACGTTTGTGGCCGTGAACGG